ACGCTCCTTTTGCCGTTTTATTTTTGATTTTGTTTCCTTTTCAGAGGGTTCCTCCTTTTCTCTAAGGAGGGTACGAGCCGGGGGGAAAAGATCATTCCATTTATCTAAAAGTTCCCGATACGCCTTGAGCGCATCGGAAGTCACAGGAGGGTCAGGCTCGGAATCCGAGTCAGAAGTCCCTTCTGAACTTGTCTCCTCCTCGGTGGAAGGCATAGAGCAGTCGCGATAACCAGACTATGGCCCCAAGGCGGAGAGCGGACAAGGGGGCTTCTCAGGTGGCGAATCGTCTGAGGATGCCGGGAGGGCAGTAGCCCTTTCCCTTTCCAGATGACCAGCCGCCTTTCTGAATGCTTGTGCAAACTGATTGCGCCGAGCAGCCTGGGAGGCAGAACACGTCTCCCGCAGCACTCTAAAAAGAACCTGTAGTGGCTCCTGGAGCTCCAAAAGAGTAGAGCCCTCCAGGAACCAAGGGTCAAGGGCATATTTTGTCTCAAATTGTTCTTCCCGAGATAGAACCTCAGGTAGTTCAGGCACATCCAGGGCATCTCCAGGAGGAGATGTTTTTTTTATGTGCGGGGGTTTCGAGGGAGTGGCCTCCGTTCGGAGCACAGGGTAAATATTACCCTGGGTGGAAGACGGGAGAGAAAGGTGGAAGGGGGGTGTACAGGGTTAGATGGAGGGTGATTTTGCTCAGGGTCAGTGGAAGGGTCTCCCTGGACGACCTGAGTCGACCCATTAAAAAGAGACGGATGGCGAATCCTGGGGCAGATGGGAAGGAGCCAACAAATCAGACCTGTCGCCATCAGGAGTGGACTGATACAAATTAGTATGTATTGTCCCTCCAGTATCGGCGTACAAAACAGCGCGAATAAGGCGCCAAATAGAAAACATATCAGCAGGAACACTCTCCGGACCATGTTCGGAAAGATAACGTGTGAGATCGTCCTTGACTCGATCCCAAGCGTCTACACGCAGAGTACCCTGAGAAGGGAACCAAGGGCTAGTTTGACTGATAAAGCTCAAAAAGCGCCTCAATTGTCCCTCACTAAGTTTAGCACCATTTGCTCTTAATAGGATAGCCAAAGTATTAGAAAACAGAGAAGCCTCCACTGAGGATGTATTTCCCATATTACTCTCAATGAAAAGAAAGAAAACAAATGAAATACCTTTTTCCTGTGGTCTCTCCACAGGGTCTGCTTGAGCCTTCAAGGTCCCTGTATCGGGCGCCACTTGACACAGTCCAGCTGTGCGGGGTCCAAGAAGCACAAGAACAGCCTGACACGGGTTGAGAGGGCTTCAGAGAGTCGGAGCTCTGAGCAAAGCTTTATTGTACAGCAGTAGTTTTAAAGGCAGTTTTCAGCAAAGCATCAGACCATACCACATGACCTTCTGTTAATTAGTTGGCATAGTAACTTTATCAGAAAGCAGTCGGGTCATGGCCACCCTGCAGACAAGAAGAGGGAACACAATAATTTTCCCACAACCTAAATTTAGGTAGAGCAGAAAACAAACAACTCTTGGCTTAACTCCTAGACTGCTCGGGCCTCCCCCTGGTGTTTTCATGTCTTTATCACAGCCAAAGGGAGGGGCACGGCCAGCCCAGGAGAGCAAGAGTTTTCTCTCAGCTCTACATACTTGTTGATGCCAATTGAGTCTCTGTGCCTGCAACAAAAAGCCTTACAAATTTATGATGGTACAATTGTTTCTAAAATGTGTTTCCAATTAGAGATTTAGAATGTTAACAATTCTTTATTAGAGATCTCATTTTAAACAGCTTAATTTCTTATATCTTGTTTTTCATTGTTCATTGATAGATGTGATAAACAGATAGTATAATTTCAATTCAAATTTATTCAAAGAAAAGATTACTATGATTATCTAATTGCTAGCTCCCAGTTTGATGACAGGCAAACCTTCCTATTAAATTTTTAATGCTCTATATCTGCAGATTAATAGTAGAATTTTAAAGGAAGAGACTATGCAAAGAATGATTAAATTATTTTTAAATTCGTTAGTTAATAGAATGAAAGACAATCAACACATCCTTTTATCTTGTGAAAAAGACACTCTTCCAGATGCCATGTCACCCTCCAGGGTCAAAGGCGAGGCGTGCTGGAAGTGAGAAGAGCATTCACAGGGGCACCGCAGAGCCTCGAGTAGTTGTTTGGCCAAGGAGTTGCAAGTAATGCAAAGGTCCCTTGATGTATTTTCTATCAGTAACCTTGAAAAGAGAAACAAAACCTTGTCTCTTTCCTACTGCTTAAAGGTGTGTGCTTTATTCAAATGTACATGAGAGTGAAGTGCATTATTTTACTAATTCGCTCATGTTCTTCATTTGGGCTAATTCTGGCTGTGATAAATTATCCAGGTTCTGTTTCAGTGACATCTGCTGAACAAATAGGAAGATACGTATTTGCTATTACTTGGTGTTAGACTGAAAGTATCCCTCACCTCTAGATCTCTACCTTTCTCTGTTTCCATCTTCTGTAATGAGTTACTCATCTCTGAATCATTATTTGTAATAACAGTAAAATTCTAAATTCAAAGCAAGGAGGTCAAACATGCAAAAGCATCTGTGCATGATGCTAACATTACAACAGGCTGCATTGTGATGGAAATAAGTACAAGTGCAATTGATTGTAAACGTTTGATAAAATAGCTGTGAAGGTTTGATGAAGCTATGCAATAAGAAATGCTGGCTTTCAGCTTGTGGAGCCAGGAGTAGAGAGCTCATTCTGAAATCTGCCTGAAGAATCGTTACTGCTGCCTTTCTCTTTGCCAAATATCCTGAGCTTGGTCTGTAACTCAGTTTCAATTGGCCTTGGCATTGATTTGTTTAACTCAGTCTAAGGGTCTACTCCATTACCTAATTGAGTAGAGCTAAACTATTGTTTTGGGTTTGGAAATCTCAGTGTGTTTAGTATACCGGTGAATATGTCATGCTCAGTATAGTGCCTTTATGCTGATTTTAGTGATCCTATTATTCGAGATTCCCTCGAAAGAAGAATAGATTTTGGAAACTGGGTGCGAGATTAGAGGAGTCTTCAGGGTAAGGAGGTTCAGGACGTGTGTTAGGTGTTTCGGGGCTCATCTTGGTGCATCTCCCTCACGTATCAGGTGAAATGTCCGTGTTCATGGTGCACTGCATTTGGCCCGGCCTACAGTTCAATTCTTCAGCCTTATGAGCTGAGTTTTGCAGCACTCAGAGTTGCTGTGAGCAGCAGGGATTGGGATGTGGAGTCACAAGTGGGAGGAAGCTGCTTAGCATCATCGTTTAAGCAGCACTGACACGGCTTGAGCCTGGTCATGAGCGTGTTATAACTTTTTACTTTTATTTTTATTTTCACCTATTCACGGTCTTTTCCAGTTATTCAGTCTAGCCTTTTATTTCCCTCATTTTGTAAAATATTCATATTTAATATATTCAATAGTTTTTAAAGTATCTTTTAGAATCTCCTTTGGGTTTTTCTTAAAATTCATCTTTGTGCATGTGTATTTTGAGAGGAGTAAATACTAACAAATTTGAAGAATATTTCTGTTATGAAATAATTATGGAAATGATTCGAAAACTTTGCAGATTTTATTTCTATTTTGAAGCAGTTTGTTGAGTAGAATAATAAAGTACTTTATGTAACATAGGATATATACTTTGATATTGCAGTTGATTTTATGGTGTAATTTCTATTAAACTGTAATCTTCTCCTCTCTTCTTTTTCCATCTGGTCTTATATTGTATTCATGAACTGCTATAAAATCTTGTGTTTCTTTTCTGTTACTCTTTTATGTGTGTGTGTGGGGGGTTTTTTTTTGTTTTTTTTTTGACACAGGTTCTCGCTATGCAGTTCAGGCTGGCCTTGAGCTCACTTTGTAGCCCAGGCTGGTCTCGAATTTGCAACTATCTTCCTGCCTCAGCCTCTCGAGTGCTGGGATTACAGGCATGCACCACCACGCCCGGCTTCTGTTACTCTTTTAAACAGCAGCTCTTTTTTTCAGCTCAGTCTGTTCTTTCCATACAATTATTAAAATAATTGTATAACTGGAGGAAATATTTGTGTAGTTGTAGTTTGAAATGTAGATTGAATTTTCATGGGTTTTCACTAAGAACTACCATCTGGTGATATTTATTTTATATAGTTAGTGACACAGAACATTAGTTATTGCAATATTTTTAGAATATAATTGTTTTATCGTCATATTAAATATTTCTTTTATTGCATTTTTCTTGTTAGCAATGTAAAAATATTTTTGACTACTACAAAAAGAAAGAACATGATTTGTATAAAACATACCTCATTAAGCTGTTAACTATTTTAAGCTAGATTTTCCCTTCACCTTCAAGTTGAAATACTTTGACAAATGAAGGTTTTCAGCCCAAATACAGTCACTGGATAATCGTTTCAAATTGAAAAATCATCATTGTGTTGTTTCTGTAGTTGAAACCCTGCAAATCCCGGGAGTGGAAAATAATGCTTCAGACCACATCTCAAAAGAGTTTTAGAACATAAAACTTGTAATTAACAACATATTATTTACTCTGAAAAATGTATAAAAGCCCAAATTTGTGTCAGAAACAAAAACAAAAATTTCAATCCTTACCTATGAATTAAACAATCTTTATAGCCTACTTCAGTTTAAGACTCCTAAATGTTCAGTTAAATTTGGAGGATTCATTTCAAGCTCACCCTTATTTTGATCAACAGGTTTGGCCAAACTTGTGAAGTTTTATCTATTTTTACAAGAAAAACTTGATGTGTATCAATTCATAATTCATAAGGGCTACAATATCACCTTCAAATAAATTTTATTATAGTTTTTATTCAGATTCATGACCAACAAAAGTGAAATAAAGATTAAATATTCTTTCATTAAAAATTATAACATTGTGCAACAACTTTTCCTTGACAGTGTTACTTAGAGAACAAAACTCAGTAGAATATTTTCATGAGTGAACAAAGATTTAATCTACCATCCTAAAATATGCACAAATGGAGGGTGTAATTTTTGCAAGCACATCATTAAAATGGTTACAAAATTACTTTACATTTTTATTTTGCTTTTAGTAAGCACCTTTTCTTTTTTCTTTTGCCATTGGAATTTATAAAGATCTAAAAAGAAGATTTGGAAGACCCAAAGGATTAAAAAAATAATTAAGTTTCCTACAGCTCAAAATCTGGTAACGAGAGTGCTGGTTCCCTTTGATCTGTACTCACTGTATGCATGAGTGGAAACATTACAGGTTCCTCATTAATATCTACAAATACTGTATGTTAATCACAGTAAAAAAATAACAAAAATAAGTAAAAAGCACTATATTTCAGATTGGGCAGGTTTATTGTACCTAATAGGAAAAAGCCATATTTTTACCTAAAGCGATTTCAGAAATATCAGTTGTATTTAATTATTGTCCTTTTTTTCTTTAAAAGATAATTACATTTTTCCATGGATGCTTCGTTTACTCTCTGCTTTACTACTTCAGTTTAAGCCATGACAACAGGAAACCAAAGTTTGGGGACAGATTTCGTGCTGGTTGGTCTTTTCCACTACGGCAGAATGAATGCGCTCCTCTTTGCTGCCGTCGTCACCCTCTTCTGGGTGGCTGTGCTGGGGAACGTCACCCTGGCCCACCCCATCCGCGCGGACAGCAGGCTGCACACGCCCATGCACCTCCTGCTCGGCCAGCTCTCCCTCATCGACATGCTGTACATCTCCACCGCTGTGCCCAAGGCGGCGACGAGCTACCTGACGGACACCAAGGCCATTTCATTCTGGGGCTGCGAGATGCAGACACTCGCGTTCCTGATCCTTGGTGGGTCTGAAGCCATTCTCCGGGGCTTCGTGTCCTATGATCGCTACGTGGCCACCTGCCGTCCTCTGCGCTATCCTGTCCTCATGAGCAGGAAGATCGGCGGCTGCCTGGTGACGTGTGCGTGGTCAGGTAGTGCTGCCAACTCCCTGATACCCACGCTGTATGTCTTCCAGCTTCCCTTCTGTGGGTCTCGGCTCGTTAACCACTGTTTCTGTGAGCTTCCTTCTCGGCTGCCATTGGTGTGTCAGGACACCTCCCAGTACGAGTACACGATCCTCTTGAGTGGACTTGTTATCCTGCTGCTGCCGTTCCTGGGCATCCTAGCGTCCTACGCCCAAGTGCTCACTGCCGTGCTCCGGATGCGCTCACGCACAGGGCAGACCAAGGCTCTTTCCACTTGCTCCTCCCACCTGACTGTGGCGAGCCTCTTCTATGTAGCTACCCTCTCCACCTGCACTCGGCCACACTCCTTGCGTGACCCTGCCCAGGATAAGGTGGTGGCTGTTTTCTATACCATCATCACACCCCTTCTGAACCCGTTCATCTACAGCCTGAGGAACAAGGAAGTGCTGGGGGCCCTGAGAAAGCTTGGGATGATGAATATTGGCAGAGACCATGTGGCTTTAGGAATCCCTTAGCGACTGAGGATTAGCACCTTAGACAGCTGTTCCTGAAATCTACCAGGGAGGGTGTCAGGACAGTCGCTCTGGGGAGATCCCGAAAAGCACTGTGCTCATTAGACTTACTCACACAAAGGAGACCACAAATGTTATGGACTCTGCGTTCCTGAGGAGGAATATTTTCGACTGCCCTTTCCTATGCCATAAAAGTCAGTGCATAAGACGCTGAACCTTGGGGGCTGGGAAATTAGCTCAGCGGCACAGCACCTGCCTGGCAAGCACAAGGTTGTGAGTTTGATTCCCGGTACTGGAAAAAAACAAAACAAAACAAAAAAAACACAACAGAAAAAAGAAGCTGAATCTGCCCTGCCCAAACATTTAACATCAAGTTAATTTAAATAATGTCCAAAGTTCATATACAGAAAATAATTCCCTCATCCAGTGATAAATCCACCAATGTTTTAGAGATTTCCCTGTGACGGTGACTTTGTTTTAGGTGGGAGTAAACAGAGGCAAAACCGGAGGAATTTTCCCTGAGTGATTTCTACCCTCCATCTAATGTCCCTTGGCCACATGACCTCGCAGTGACAGAGCCGCGGTGCGAATGTGGCCAGCTCCTTGTGAGTGGGGCGGGGTCAGCAGCAGAGCACTGGGACCGCTTCACGCCGCCAGGCCTGGTGAAGCCTCCTGTGCCTCTCAGTGTCGGCTTCTCTCTCCAGCTCAGGCGTCAGTGCTTTGGGTGGGTTTCTTCTAACTAACTTACTAGAGTGATGCTCTCATTAGAGTGTGTCCATTATTTACTTCAAAAATATTCAAATGTTTTATTTTGCTAACTAACTTGAAATGCACTGCAAAAAACAAGTCCAGTGCTATAAGAAATTTACAGGCAGGGAAAAGCTTCTCATCTTAAGCTTTTTTAAATTAACTGTTTAACTCTGTGAAGCTCAGGGAAGATATTTCCCCATTAACACACACATACAAATGCACAAGTGCATAAAACTAGTTGAGTACTCTGAGCAGTACAGGCGGTAACCTCACCGTTTTGATTGACAGCCAGACCCATGGGGTAGGAAGCTCTCTGAAGAAACCTGAGGAAGGGACTCACCAGCTCATCTGCAGAACCTCCAAAGTCTGACTCCATTGTGCTTTGACACAAAGTCCTAGCTGAAAACAACCCCTTTAATATGAATTTTGCTCCTAATGTACTGTGCAGTTCCGGTACGTGCAAGGCCAGCACCAGGAGAGTCCTCTCCCAGGTACAGTGCAGTGTGGACCGCACAGCAGCCCTGCTGAGCGGGAGGAACCCGTGCAGGGCTGGGAGGAACAGGCTGCCTCAGGGGAGCACAACCGCTGGGATCCACGTCGAGGGGACGTCCTTACGGACAGTGCAGACAGAAACTGGCCGTCAGCAGAGCTGTGCACAGTGACCGGAGGAGAGAGCAGCTGCGGCAGAAGGCGGAGCTGACAGAGTCATCAGGCCAAGGAAATCAGAAGCCGCCACTGGAGCAAGAGTCCTGTGGACATTAGGAGAGGATCGAGGCTTCACGCCAATCACTGACTGGAGGTGGGGAGAGGGCGAGAACAGCTGGGGGAAAAGGTCAAAGGCCAAGGAAGGACTTCAGACGTCTGCAGACCCCTGTGAGAAGCAATTGATGTGTTTATGAGCAGCTGAGTTCAGCTTCTACTGCGTCCTATGTAGATAATCAGGAATCACAGTGCTGTGTCTGAGGATCAGATCTTTGAGGAGGGCTGGTTCTCACAGGCGAAGTGAACACATCTGTGAAGAAATCAAGATTCCAGCCAACTCGGACCTCTCATCAGCACCAGGACTATTTCAATGTCAAAGTTGACATTTGAGACATAGGGAATATCTCAACTGTGCTGGTGGTATGCAGCTCAGTGGAATGTCACTTGTCCGGCATGCATGAGTTTGTAGCTTCCGTCTCCAATAACAAAAGAAAAAGTCAAACTGTATTTTTGTAATCAGGATTTCTCCTGGTTTTCACACACACTTAAACTAAATTTCTCTAAAGAAATCCAGACGCTTGTGTCACATTTTATGTACATACTCCTGTACTAACAGAGGAAAAATTCTGGGATTTTCTTCCAGGAGTCTTGAGGAAGCTGAGAGTCTTGCAGAAGTCAGAAGCATCTAAGTGAAAACTTAGGCCAGGTAGGAGTAGAAGTGAGGGGCGTGGAAAAGCAGGTGTATCTGTTCACCGATCTCTTTCCTCCCACTCCATCCCAGCACTGCACACTCAGACACAGGTGGACTTGCACACCCACGAACACTGCACTCATCTCTGCTCACCCATGCACACACACAGGAAGGCCCCTGCAGGCCTCGTGGACTTCAGTGCGAAGCTGGTGCCTGAATGCTGCCCTTGTTCGGAGAGCATCCGCAGACTTTCTGACTGCTTGCACCTGGGTGCTGAGTGGCCTTGCTTCCAACCATACATGTTCTTCTGTGGGCTTTCACCCGGACACCTGTGTAACTCGGCCAAGACCAAGGGTTCTCATCTATAAATGGGGGAAAAGTACAGCACGAGCTTCCCAGTCTGGTGACATAAATTCTTGCTAAATGGAGATTACTGTCATTTCTCAATAAAGATTAGTACTTTCAATTTTTATTAGCACTGTCATTTTTAGGGTTAATTCACCAATATTTTAATCAAGGTTTATGTATTTTACTATTCAATTAACTTACAAAGAAATAGCAGCATTTGATTTGTATTTTTGCTTTTGTTCCCAGTCTCATTTATTGACTCTATTCCTATGGGTTCCTATTCTCTGTACCTGTGTGAGTACTTAGTGAAGTACCCATTTCTATACCAATCTCTATGCCCATCTGAGTGTAAAATTGCAACATCCCTTCATTTATGTTTTAGGGAAAGCTATTATAATCATTGAGACTAATTTTTACTGGCGTTTTTACTTTTCCAGTAATTTATCTGCAGAACCGCACTTGAGCAATTACTCATTATTGAAGTTTGTTAGGAAGTAGAACAGCATTATAACCGTTCATGTGTCATATAAACCCTCGTTGCTGGGAAGACGTATTGTATTGTTTTTTAAAATTCTCTCAGGACAGAAACAATTTCTTTTAAGCAGATCAGAATTTTTTTTTTTTTTTTTTTTTTTTTTTTGCTGGAACAGGGAGGATGGACAGAAGGGAATAAACAGTTACTGGATATATCTGATGCTTCTTATACTCTCTAAAAGTTAATATCCATAAATAATCTTTGTATGAGCCAGGGATGATCTCCCTTTTCGAGGAGACTGACCTGAATCTCAGAGAGCACAAGTAGCCTGCCCTGGATCTGGTCAGCAGGAAGTTGTAAGCCTGGAAGAGCTCAGCGGTGCATCCTTCCCATGCAGGACCACTGTGTTGGCTGAGATACCCTGACCCCTCTCTGGCTCCCTAGGACTCACCAGGCTTTCCTGATCCGTTGGTTATTGCCAAGGCTGTGCTGGCCGGATTGATGGCTTCTCAGGAATGAGTGTGCCCATTTAACAATGATAAAGGGCTTCATCGCTGTCCAATGGGTCAATCCATTCTGACTCTTCATAAAAAAGAATTCGGATGAGGCTGCAGCTCAAGGACTGAGCACTTGCTTAGTACACACAGAACCCTAGGTCAAACTCCAGCACTTGAAATAAAAACCCATAATATATTAAGACATGTATTCATGTGTACAAATGCTAGTTCTTTTGCTTAGTGTATATTCCTTTAATTTCCGGTGATACTTTATATCTGTGCTTGTAACGCATAAATTTACGCTTATCATGTTGTAATTCTGCAAAGAGTATTCTTAAGCCTTTCACAAGGCTGGGGATTGGCTTGTTGTCCAGCCCTATGTTAGATGAATACATTTAGTCTTATCAGATAAATCTACTTCCCAGTTCCTCTTGGAAAAATGCCACTTTTTGAGTTGAAGGAAAGAATTGTGGCTATTATTTATTAATCATTTACTAAATACCTATAACTAAACATTTTAAGTCCACTACCTTGTTGTTTTCCTTTGCCAGTCCTGGGTGTAATTTACTGGACTCACTGCCCCAGGCATAGAGGAACGCGTTTCCCTCACAGAACCTGAGTGTTGGCATCTATAGTACAGCTGAGCTCGGAGGGACACAACCTGTGCTCATCAGGACTTCTCACCCTGCGTGCTCTAGTCAGGGAGGCTCTGGAGCCCAGAGATGATTCGGAATGCGACGCATTTAATGACAGACAGAACAGGAATTCCTATTCCCCTCGATTAAATCACTAATTGCAGTTTTCTCCAGTTGTAAGTTTTAATGTATGACTAACACCATGTTCACTCCATGTGTACCCTTTTCAGTGAGGATCTACACAGTGGGGTGAATGAGCTGAACTACAACACAGGATTTGTGTTGCCTGAGTTAATTTCTCAGTGTGCCGACAGAGAGCCGTTTGGTTTAGCCAATTGGATGGACAGCCCATGGTTCATTCAGCTTTGCTTTTTAAATTGAACGTTTGTGTCTCCTCACGGTCCAGACAACAGTTGGAATAAGAAATGGGAGGGCCTTCCAGGAGCTGAGGAATTTCACTGTCAGAATTAGGGCTCTGGGCTCATGTTACCTGGTGTGAGACCTGCACTTTCTGGTAGAAAAAAAATCATAAAACCCATACGTTCTTCACCTGCATTTCTAAAAAAGCAGGGCTCTTATTTGGTTGTTTGGAAGTAAAATGAGACAATGCACATCCCAAGTGTCTAATATTGGGGCAGTGGCAGAAATTCCTGCCCTGCTTCCACCAGTGTTAAAATCCCGTGGGTTGGGGTGCAAAGGAGCCCTGTGCAGTGCTGGGAACGGAAGTTAGCACACTGTGAAAAGAACATGGAGTTTCCTGCAAAAACTAAAAATACAGCTGTGTGTGACCAGCTGCATAGGACCCTCTGTAGGTCCTGGGGGAAATGATCTCAGCACACACAGGACACCCGCATGCTCACTCTGGCACCATTGTGGTTTGTACCCAAATGTCTCTCAAGAGCTTT